ACCGGAATAATAATTATTCCCGTTCGTTTTTACTTTTTAATTCTGAGATTTTCGAAATGCTTACATGGCTAAAAATGGATTCTAATGCAATTATTACGCATTTTTAATTTTAAAATATCTTTCCAAATACAAATCATACAATGATAATTTTTTTGCAAAAAGGTGGGTTGGGTGATACTGGTTCTGTATATTTATTTTATCGTTAATTATTGTATCTTACAATTCTGAGCTTATCCTGTGGAATTTGGTAATAGCTTGAGAAAAAGAATAAATTAAAAAAATATCTGATGATACGTTGCTCTTAGTAGGACAACAAATAAGCAGACTCTGAAATTACAGATTGAATCTACTGACAGTCAAGGATAGAACTTCCAAAGTTTACACAAAAAATATTGTGCTTTGGGGACTTTTACAGCAAATATAATTTTGGTTGTAATTATGTAACATTTATGAGGATAATATACGGATATCTTTCCTTAGTTGTTTATAAATTGTGCACTGTTCAATTATTAAAGTTAACAACGAACTACTTTAAATTACAAAATTGTACTTGGATTAAACGAAAATTGCTTACAATATAATACATATAACTTATAATAAATTCCTTCTTGCCATCAACTTTGACGGCACGGGTACACTAGTGTTTACAATAATAGTAGTAGTATGTGTATAGGATTTTAATCATTTCACCCCAATAAAGACAATAAAGCCACTAATACGGAAGTAGTTGCTGAGTATGAAAGAATATGAGAAAAAGAAAAATAGTATTAAGGAGACAGTACAATAAAAGAATATGAATTATGAAGACAGATGATAATTGCATTTAATTTTTTGAAGATCAAAGTTAATTGGAAAGCAAGAAACCGGAAGAGATTTCCACAAAGTGTTAGCATAGAACGGTTACATTTCAATTGTAAAAATGGTGAAATCTATCTGCCAATCTAGTACTGCGCTTAAATTCGTAAAGTCCAATACCAAAGAGAAAAGCTCGTCAAAACAATTACAATGAAAATATTTATAGAAAAATCACAGGAAGCTACGTTACGGCGGGGGGGGGGTAATGACTGAAATGGAGATGCCAGCTCAGTATAGATAGCATTGCATATTCTTCTTTGTATTTTATAAAGAATCTCTAAATACATAGCAGAAGCACTAGACCAGATGTGACAGCAATATTCAATGCACGGACGAATCGTCGACTTATAAATGTGCAAGATAGATTCTAGAGAGAAAAGTTGTCTACCAAGACACAATGAACCAACTTTCCTAGCAGCAGACCTAGCAACTGATTCAATATAAACTTTTCACTTCATACCAGCGGAAAACGTTAGCCTGAGAAGGTGCAATGAGTCTCGTGTGATTCATCGCACCTTCATATGTTTGTGCGTGTTCTTGTGCTTGAATATATAGGTGCGTCTATACTTTTGCAAACTTAATGAAGTCCTAAGTGCAATATTCAGGATAGTGCTTGCGGGACCAAAGGTATGTTATCCGAAAACGTGTGTGTATATTTGTTTTTGTGCGCGCATGTCTATGAAGTCGGACCATATTGACAAATTCTCTGCGCTCCTCCTGCTTATCTCGACCCTAACTTATTTAATTTGTTTTGCTTTTAATAAAAAAAAAACAAAAACAACGGGAATAAGAAACTAAAAGAGGAAACATAGGATTTAACAATTAATTATTCTCAGAGAAACATTGAAGCAAAAAAAAAAAACAAAAAAAAACGAAAGGATAACAGAAAAAAAAGGTTTGGTCACAATAACAAAAGCTAAAAAAAAGCCTTTCAAAGAATTACTTCGTAAGAACTTATTTCAGAAGCGCTGAAAATACAGATAGTCAGAAAATGACAAGAAAAGGAGAATTGTGAAGGAATGGGGGAGAAAATGTTGTTATTAAATAGCTACAATGCTGAAGCTCAGCGAGTGGAAAGAAAATGGAGTGAGAGAGAAAAAGAAATGTACTACCTCACATAAGACAAAGTAAAAATGGAGAGTAAAGACTTGAACGTGAAAAGGAACCCAGCCTTACAGAAAATGGACGAATCCAAATTAAGTTGATGAGGGTAAAGGAACGCAACTGACGTCTGATGACGACGATCTAAACGAACCTTTAAGAGTACACGGTGTCAGGTCATTCTGACCAGTAAAGTGCACTCATGCTACAACAGTACAGCCAACCCATTTCTTAAAGTGCTGCCATGTCTTCTAACAATACAAAAATAGGCGGACACTACCTCGTTTACCGCACTATTCTCCTCCCACTGCTGTACACAGTTTCAAAAAAATCACACGCACTGATGAACATACTTAATACATTTACTCGCACACATACTGAATACATTTATGGTATGCCGAGGCTTACACACAAAGTTCTTCTGATATATGTGTGTAATTACCTCTCTATATATCATCAAAGACGTGTTAATTCTGCTGGCTTCTAAAATAACTAACTTATTCAAACACACAGTAATAGGTGATAGACAAACTCACTTACAATGTGCTTCTAAAGTAAAATACTTAGTAAATATCTATGGTAGTAAATGTTTGACAGCCTATATCTGCCGAGTATGCCTGCTTGTTAGAGCGGTCAGTCAATCCCTGTTGTAGATGCCTGCTCAGGCACATTTGTGTTTATTCAACACCCACAGAGCCAACCTGTGGTTTATACTGCAGCTATACTGAACAAACCTTAGTTACAGTTTCTGGGAAAGCAGTTATGTCTACCCAATTTCACTCAGCTTGGGTTAACACATGTTTTTTTCAGGTACTTCTCTAAAATTAATATGATATATTTTGCAGCTGTGTATAGGTCACATTCTCATTTTAGAATGAAATATTTTGGAAATCTAAAATTGAGGTGAAGTCTTCTTGAGCCTGCTCAGGATTCCATAGAGGAGACACAGAGAACTCAAGCTAATTTCCAAGCCTGAACTTCACTGTTGTATATATATGCAATGACAATTTTAAATGTGGAAAATTTCTACAGTGAGTTTTCTCATTATCAAATATAGAGCATTTGCAGATGTAAACAGGAATCAACAGTTCATGGTTACTGTCAGTTTCATGTCTCAAACAATCTTCAGACCATATTGCCCACAAAAGAGTAGTAACACAAGCTGAAGATCACTTGAGGCAGGAAACTAACAGTCAACACGCAGTGTTGATTCCTATGCCCACACTAACTATATCTATAAATGCTCAAACTGATACTGATTCTCCCCCTATAAATGCAGCAAAAGTTAAACATCATACATCCATGTATACAAACTCTTAACTTCAAAAAGGTAAGAGTGATTAATTCTTCAGTTAGCAGTTTACAGCCATATGTTGAAACATCAGTTACATGTAAGCACTGAAATTAAGCAATGCCAAGCCTGGTCAATACTTAGATGGGTGACTGCTTGGGAATACCAGATGCAGTAGGCTTGGATATGAGGGTAGGGTAATAGATAATTATAATGGCTTGGAATTGTTAATCAGAGAGCTGAGTTCCAATTCCAGCTGAGTTCATTATATTCATTTATGTGAAAATATTCTTGGAAAACGTATGATTCCACCTCTTTTTCACCAGCAGCTATTGACTAAATCATTATCTCAAAAAACATTCTTACAATCTAAAAAACATATTTTCTGGCTTTAAATAACTTGCCAATGGGTGATAAGCATTAAAAAAACAAATCAATCAAATCTTCAGTTAGCATGGTGAATGAAATAGCTTTTGTTTTGTGTTTTTTGCTTGAAAGCCTTCTAGAAATGCAAAAACAGACTCCTACATACACATTTATTAATGCTCATACTATCATAACATCTATACACATTCAGTAGTAGTATATGGTATACTGAATGTGACTCTAGTAAAGTAACTACTGACTGGATCAATGCTTAAGTAATTGGGTTCAGGTCTTGTTCTGAAATTGAAATGGTAATTTAATTTCCTGTTACAACTAAAACAAAAAAATAATTTTCAATCAGGAAATTGTAAAAATTAATAACTTTCTTCATAAACTGGTTGCCTCATGCATTCATGTAGTATATTAACCCAGTACTGTTCATCCCCCACTTTATATTAAGTAGATATAATGATATATGCAACTATAAGTAGAAATTCTATCGTAATGACAATATTAGCCGTTTTCTTCATTTTTTTTTTTTTTACAGTAAGGTACACCTTGTACAAGGCCAGGGGGCCACTCAAGATAGAGAGTTACATTAAGGTGGAGTTTATATGGATAGGAGGAGAAGATAACAGTTAACTCTAGATCTAAACAGGTTAAGATTGTAGTGATCAGTGAAACATCCTCTTAGGAGTCTGTTGCACAGAAGAGTGGTTTGTGAAAAGAATCTGAATGGAACTTACTTCTCACTGATGGAATACAGAGAGAATCTGGGTAGTTTGCTTCAATGTAAGTGGCATGGCGGGGCCTAGCTGTGAAGGTTAGACCCGGCGGAACCAACACTTTCAATGGTAGTAGTGATAGATCAGTTCGAACTCTATCAAGACTGGAAAGTGAGGACTGGGTAGCTCCCACCCAAATATGACAAAAGTACACCATTTTCAGCTTGATCTGGCTCTAATAAAGGGAGAGGATACCATGATGAGTTAGGTACTTACTGGAGTAGAACAGGGAACTGATCATATTATGTGATTTATTAAGTGATAGCATATTCTTGGAGGTCCAAGGACCTCCTGGAAAGAAATAGATAATATTTTTATGACCATTGAGTGACAGAGAGGAAGACAGACCTCTGTTCCCAAATTTGGTTGATTGATAAGGATTAACTTTTAAAAGCAGACAGGTTTCCAAAAGAAAATAGGTATAGAATGGTAATTAAATTTTTTCGTCTGCCGAAATGCAATAAAACTTCCCAAATCAAGGAAATGTCCCCTTTTTGTCACTTGTTAGCCAAAGGGTTGATGAGGGGATGAAAAAATGATAAATCCCAGATGCAAAAATGACCACACACAAAAGCATTATAAGAAAGAATTTTGAACGATAATTAAAATTTGGCCATCTGGGCTAGACCATCCCTAGCCCTTGGGGGACGGGTTTGATCAAGTGAACAAAGAGGAAAAGGCTCAGGTGGAATTTCAGGGAAGGTGCAGGACCTTCCATGCCCCTCGGGCAGTGATGGTGAGAGGCACTTTACACAAAACAGGAAGAAGACGGGTTTGATCAGGTGACTAAAAGAAGGAGAAGGCTCAGGTAGAATTCCAAGGAGGGAGGAAGGGCTCCCCATATTTGAACACTTGTAGAGAGAGCCCTGATTGGTTGTTTGGAGAATGCTGCCATTCTCAAAGTACATCATGCTCAACCCCAGTCCTTGTGCAGTGGTCCATAAAAACAGAATGCCAAGTAGATGAGAGTGGACACTATGGGGACAAGACTGAACGGAGAGATGAGAACTACCGCTTCACCTGATATGATGTGATTCACCGCCCTGAAGAAAAAGTGCCAACTTAAAGCCTTGTTTCAGAAGTCTCATCCATAACCATAACAAAAATGTGTCATAATTGGAAAAGGGTCCATAGTTATTGCATGGAGAATATAGGCCTGTTTAAGCCATCAATAACTATACTATCAACTTTGTATCAAGGAATTGTATATAAATACATTTTTTTTTCTTTTATCCAATTTATTTTTTCATGTGATTTTACTCTAACCGGAGCAAACCAAGTCATTGATTCTAGTCAACCAAATGGACCAAGCGAATCAGGTGCTCAATTAACACAACATGGGGGCGAGACAAGACTTGGACCAAAACAATCAACTCTGTGATCAGCCGAGGGGATCAAGCATGAATACAGAGCAGCTGGGATAGATGTCATACCACACCGACTAGACATCAGATTCCACATAAACTGGAGGTTTGGACAACTTAGAGAGGCTCCATATTACTGCTGCTGGAATCCACATCATTCGCCAAGATCTCCTGACCAAGACCATGTTCCAGCCCCAAAGACCAGAACTTAGAAATTTAAATTACTACTTACACAGGCTGTAAACTCCAAAAGTGGATCCTAGTGTAATTTGATTATAATAGTAGCGGAAAGTGTTAAAACTGCTGTATACAACAATTCATATATAAACCAAAAATGTTGTTACATTTTTAACCTGAATTAATTCTTTATTCCAAAGAATTCTTTTTTGCGTAGCTCCACACTGTCAATCTGTTCTTCACTTCAGTTTACTTCATCAGCGATCTGAGATCAAAAACACGTGGCAGAAGAGTGAGTGATTGTGAAGGAGATGAACACCATTTAGATAAAGTAGAACTGTGCTCATCATCACAATACCAGCAACAAACTATCAATGTGTTAATGAGTGAGAAGATATCTAGATGGTAACCACAGTGGTCTGAAGGAACCAGAAGAGCAATGCAGTAGTGAGAGAGTTATATATCAAACCACAAAACTACTTGTTGTCTTTTTTTTTTTTTTACAATAATGTTCAAAGTCCAAGAGTCACTAGAGTTGAGGTTATAGAGTAAGAGGTACAGTTTATGGGGATATGTGGGGGAATATAACAGTTAATCCTAGACATGAACGGGTTAAGATTGTAGTGATTGGGGATTCAACAGGATTTTATGTGTTCCTATGGTTTTGGAGACTGATACATCTAATTATGAACTTGCTGCCTAAGACAATCTGTTGTTTTTTTTTTTAAAAACCCATTTGCGATCTGAACAACAACACTCAGCATTCAAAAAAGAAGCCTATGCTATTGTGGAGGCACTTACAAAATGACTATTTAATTAGATGGCATTATGAAATAATTACTGAATAAAAAACTGCCACATTTATGTTCAATACGGGAACAATAAACAAAATTAAAAACGATAAGATAGCAGATGGAGGATTGAACTCTCTGGTGTTTCCTTTGATTTAATAAACCATTCTGGTAAGAAGAACGCCACACTAAATGCACTATTAAGGGCATGAGGCGCTAATGAACATCGTACCCTACACAACAAACTGTGCCATCCAAGCATAACATGAATGACACATGTGGTACAGACAAGAAACTTACCATATTCTACAATGTAAAAAAATCAAATCCTGTTGAATCTGCAAAGAACAGAAACCTCAGTTTTTAAGATCTAAAACTGGGATGCTCATAAAAGTTACTCAGTAATTTGAAAGACTAAACCTAGACTTCCAGGGCCTTCTACTGTCCAAAACAAGGAATTAACATGTGTTAATCATCTTTGATGTATATTTGTGATTCACATTTGCATTTCTCTATCCAGACATATCAGCAAACTCAATACAGTGCTTATTTACATTTCTCAGTGTTTCAGCATATATCCATTCAGATCATGGAGATTCTTTCAAGTCAGACCAGCTGAGACAATTCCTTCAGGAAAAAGGAGTGACCACAACATGAAAAACCACTTGCCACTACCCAGTGAAATGGTGATTGTGAAAGATACACCAGCATAATATGGAAAACCATATAGCTGGTTGCCATGATCCACAAATACCCAATCACCCACTAAGAGAATCTCCTCCCCCAAGTCTCTGTACACTATTAGAACTCTGCTATGTACAACAATGAATGCTTCACCTCACAAAAGCTTTCTCCCCTTTTCACAAAGAAACTTGGTAGGAACCCTGCTCCGTTCGTGGCTCTCGAAACCTGGAACAGTTTTTCTAAGACACTTCATCCAATGCAAAAAACATGACACATTGACAAACAAGGTTCAACTAACTGAAGCGAATCCCCATTATAACCTGGTTGGACACCCAGATAGAAAGGAATCCACTGTGTTTCTCTCAGATCTAGCACCCATACCAAATATTGTATCTTATTACAATCTGTGTTTCGCCTGTGTTTTATTACAATATAATCAATACTGGATTTTTATTTTTATTTTATAATATCAAATTTTACAGTGAGCAATAATGCATTAATATTTTAGTCTGTAAATTTTATTTCGCCAGTAACAAAAGATAATATTTTCAGCCTCACTTGAAAATTAAAGTTTTCATCAAAATTGTTAAACAAAATTTAAGTTGTTTTATAAGAAGTGATCATTCCAGACCAACATAGCTGTATATTTCTGCTCTTCATTGCTTAAAAATACAACTTCTTTTTTTCCCTGCCAAAAATGTTTTATTATGTTATCATGACCACCTTACTCGACTTGCAGTATGGCTGAAACCATTTCTTTGTCTGAAACCAAGCTTGTTTTGGTAACCTCCATTGCTTCTGACAACCGCAATGCCAATACATGTTGACACTGAAATGACAGACACAAAAAAATATATTAGCAGACTGTAGTGTAATGTTACTGACTCATATGAAGTAGTATTCACTCAACTGCCTTGGGGGTAATAGCCATAGCTATTTATAATCTTTGTGACTTCCTATGTAAATGAGTTACCTCATCTCCCTGTACTAAAGAAATTTTATTCCCTTATTTTTATGGGTACATCTGCAGGGAGCTTTTGTCTCCTTGCTATCTTCCTCCCTCTCCCTACGAGATTGTCTAGATATGGGGGATCATGAACTTTTTCTTTTTTATAGGAGCATTTCTCCAACAATTTTTCATCTTCAGATTCTATATTGCTCTCAATTTCACTGTCTACTTCATCTTGCCTTGACATAACACTTTTGCCTTCATTACTTTCAGGCTCACTATACATTTTTTCATCACTATCATGTTGCAATCCAACTTGGTCTGTGTGTGTTAATATCCCATTTCCATTTTTTTTTCTATTATCGTAGTGTTTTGTCTACTTTGCATTATGAATCTTGCTTCTTGTAGATTAGATTCACTGTTCTTTTTACACCATAGTTTTTTCATTGGTAGCATAGGACATGGTCAGTCGGGCTTTAATTTTTGATTGCCCAGTGTATGGTATTGTCCTGTAACTTAGCAACAATCTAGGAAGAAATGTTTTTATCTTTTCTCTCAGTACACATATTTTCATTTTTTATAGTTTGCAACATTCTTTCTGCTAATCTGTTTGATTGTGGGTGGTATGGGGGGAGTTTATATGGCCTGTCTCCAATATTGTTCAACCATTGGCATACTTCCTTATCACAGAACTCTGGGGCATTGTCAGATACTAGCGTTTTCGGAATTCCATTTCTTAATGTTTTTTTCACAGTCAAACTTCTTTTGTTGGAGACCTGTATTACTTTTGGCCAGCCTGAATACAAATCTACCAATATTAGTAATAATTCCACTCCATCATCATGAGCATGATCCATGTGTACTCTGTCCCAAGGTTGTGATTCTTTAGGTTATATATGTGATTTTGTCTGTGTAAATTTTCATCTTTCAATGTACATTTTACACCTTTTTACATATTCTTCTATATATCTCTATTCTTAATCACCTTTGCATAGACATTATTCCACAATGAACATCGTCATGTATACTTTTTATTATTTTGCTCCTTTGCACTGCTGGCGGAACCACTGCATCTTCATTACAAATTACATCCTTTTTTACAGTTAATTTGTGTTTAACTCTTTAAAATGCCCTTCTGCTTATGAGCAGTTATTGCACTTGTTATTTTTTATCCTGAACAATATACTGTTCAGTATGGGATCCTCAGCTAATTTGTCTATTGACAAAATATCAGTTTCAACCCAGTGTAAGAAAGTATCTTTGAATTTTTCCTCCTCTTTCTCACTTTTAGAAATAATGAACCTCAATCTTGACAGAGCGTCTACATGTGGAATGGTATAGCCTTTCATGTACACAGTATCAAAGTCAAACACCATTAACATTAAGGACAATTATAGAATTCTAGATGTTACCTTGAAAAGTTTCCTCCTAGGATTAAATATGAATTCTAAAGATCTATGGTCGGGCCTTAAAAAAGCACTTTACCCCACAGAGAAATCTACAAGGTTAGCATACAGATATATGATTTTACTGCAGACTAATTTCTTTGGTCTTTTTTCTCCCCCACAATGTTTTTGTTGTGTACCTTTGTTATACTCTACTGCAATTAGATCTCTTTCTGTTTCACACAACATGTTGGCCAGATGTGAGCACTTAGAAAGCAAAACACAAAATAGTTGTTTTCTGTGCATGAGCGCCAAGCAATACGTCCAGTTCACAAAACAAATCCCCACAATAAAATTAATACAATAGCCAATCACAAATGTTCTTGCCAGAAAAAAGATGACTCTGGAAACTACCAGATTTTCTTAAAGTTCCTCATAACAGCCAACACAGTTGCAAGCTGAAAGCCAACCTGGCAACAGCATGCCTGCATGCTATTGCCATTACTACCATGATAGCCACTCACCAATCACCACCACTCAACACCTTAACTATCTACTTCAGGATTCCCTCATTGGCACCACCATGACCTCATCCCTTTGATACAATATTCAACCAGAATCCAAATAGACATCCCTCATTAACCCTTTCATCACAATATTTGATATCACATTCAACCAGAATCCAACAGAGACAGACATCCCACCAGAATCAATCCTGTTCAACCATCTATCCAACAGAGACATTCTCTCATCCAGTCCTTTATCCACTATGATCCTGTTAATGAATCTCTTTCTCCTGTTCACTGATTTCAATTCAAATCCAGAATCCAACAGAGACATTCTGCTTGACCCACTCCAGTCCCCCTTGTTTTCACCACTATGATCCTGTTCACTGATGTTAACATTCAACCAGAAATCCAACAGAGACATTCTGCTTGACCCACTCCAGTCCTCTATTGTTTTCACCACTATGATCCTGTTCACTGATTTCCAATTCAACCAGAATCCAACAGAGACATTCTGCTTGACCCACTCCAGTCCTTTATTGTTTTCACCACTATGATCCTGTTCACTGATTTCAACCAGAATCAACAGAATTCTGCTTAACCCAGACCTTCTTCTCCTGTTCACTGTTTCCAATTCAACCAGAAATCTGATTTCTATTGTTTTCAATTCATCCTGTTCAATTTCCAATTCAACCAGAATCCAACAGAGACATTCTTTTCATGATCCTGTTCACTGATTTCCAATTCAACCAGAATCCAACAGAGATTCTTCTGCTTGACCCACACCACTATGATCCTGTCCTCTTTGAATCCAACAGAGACATTTTGACCCACTATGATCCTGTTCACTGATTTCCAATTCAACCAGAATCCAACAGAGACATTCTGCTTGACCCACTCCAGTCCTCTATTGTTTTCACCACTATGATCCTGTTCACTGATTTCCAATTCAACCAGAATCCAACAGAGACATTCTGTTAACCCACTCCAGTCCTCTATTGTTTTCAATTCAACCACCAACAGAAATCCACTGATTCAATTCAACCAGAATCCAGAATCCAACAGTCCCTCTAGACATTCTGCTTTCCAATCAACCAGACCCAACAGAGACATCCAGTCCTCTATTGTTTTCACCACTAATCCTGTTCACTGATTTCCAATTCAACCAGAATCCAACAGAGACATTCTGTTGGACCCACTCCAGTCCTCTGATCCTGTTCACTGATTTCCAATTCAACCAGAATCCAACAGAGACATTCTGCTTAACCCACTCCAGTCCTTTACCCACCACTAGATCCTGTTCATTTTTTTTCAACACTTCTGATCCTGTTGTTTTCACCACTATGATCCTGTTCACTGATTTCCAATTCAACCAGAATCCAACAGAGACATTCTGCTTGACCCACTCCAGTCCTCTATTGTTTTCACCACTATGATCCTGTTCACTGATTTCCAATTCAACCAGAATCCAACAGAGACATTCTGCTTGATCCTGTTCCCAATTCTCCCCAGTCCTCTATTGTTTTCACCACTATGATCCTGTTCACTGATTTCCAATTCAACCAGAATCATTCTGCTTGGACCCAAGTCCCGCTATTGTTTTCAGATCCTGTTCACTGATTTCCAATTCAACCAGAACCAAGAGACATTCTGCTTGACCCACTCCAGTCCTCTATTGTTTTCACCCACTATGATCCTGTTCACTGATTTCCAATTCAACCAGAATCTTCTGCTTGACCCACTCCAGTCCTTTATTGTTTTCACCACTATGATCCTGTTCACTGATTTCCAATTCAACCAGAATCCAACAGAGACATTCTGCTTTGACCCACTCCAGTCCTTCATTGTTTTCACCACTATGATCCTGTTCACTGATTTCCAATTCAACAGAATCCAACAGAGACATTCTGCTTGACCCACCCAGTCCTTTATTGTTTTCACCACTATGATCCTGTCCTTTATTGTTTTTTTCACCACTATGATCCTGTTCATTGTTTTCTGATCCTTCCTGATTTCCAATTCAACCAGAATCCAACAGAGACATTCTGCTTGACCCACCCAGTCCTCTATTGTTTCACCATTCTGTTCACCCATTTCCAAACCAACAGACTTCCCACTCCAGTCCCCTTGTGTTTTCTGCACCACTAGTGATCCTGTTCACTGATTTCCAATTCAACCAGAATCCAACAGAGACATTCTGTTTAACCCACTCCAGTCCCCATTGTTTCTTTTTGACCTGCTTGACCCACTCCAGTCCTTTTCACCACTATGATCCTGTTCACTGATTTCCAATTCAACCAGAATCCAACAGAGACATTCTGCTTGACCCACTCCAGTCCTCTATTGTTTTCACCACTTCCTGTTCACTGATTTCAATCCAACAGTTCTGTTCCCACTGTCCTCTATTGTTTTCACCACTATGATCCTGTTCACCAACCAGAATCCAACAGAGACATTCTGCTTAAGTCCCACTCCAGTCCTCTATTGTTTTGTTTAACCCACTCCACCCACTATGATCCTGTTCACTGATTTCCTTTCATTCTGCTTGACCCACCCAGTCCTCTATTGTTTTCACCACTATGATCCTGTTCACTGATTTCCAATTCAACCAGAATCCAACAGAGACATTCTGTTCCTCTAATTGTTTTCACCACTATGATCCTGTTCACCCCAATTCAACCAGAATCCAACAGAGACATTCTGCTTAACCCACTCCAGTCCTTGTTATTCCTGTTTGATTTCCACCACCAACAGAGACATTCTGCTTGAACCCACCTCAGTCCTGTTCACCACTGATTTTCCAATTCAACCAACAGAATCCAACAGTCCCCATTGTTTTCACCATTGATCCTGTTTGACCCAGAATCCAACAGAGACATTCCAGTCCTCTATTGTTTTCACCACTATGATCCTGTTCACTGATTTCCAATTCAACCAGAAACCAACAGACATTCTGCTTTGACCCACTCCAGTCCCTCATCCCCACAGA